AGGAATGTATATGTTGCAATTACCAAGAACATTTGATTTGTTTGGTCAGAACTGAAGACTTACATAAGTGAAAATGCCTAGCACACAATAGATTCTTAATAAAAATTTGGTGAGTAAATGAATGAATGAATGAGATCGGAAAGGCAGGCTTAGATCAGAGAGGAAAGGGCCTTGACTACTGAATTGAGAAATCTGAGTGTTAACTAGTTCTTGACACCCAGGGTCTTTTCCCAGTGTCAGGAAGAGAGTGTGTTCTTCAGCAAGTCCCTTGTACATGTTTCCCCCTAAATAACAAGGAAAAGTAGAGATAAGTGGAAGTCTGAAAGTGACCAATTTCCAAACTCAGGAGGAGGAAACATCTTCTCATCCACCCAGGAGAAGTCCTACAGTGGAGTTTTAAGACATCCAAAATCCCTCAGATGAAAGGGCATCACAGAATATTGACTGGAAAAATACATGAATCTATTTAATATAAACCATGCTAGTCTTTGAGAATAGTGTACGGAATTATTTTGGTTAATTTTACTATATATATATATATATATATATATATATATATATATACCACATATTTTTTTTTTTTGGCTGTGCCATGTGGCTTGTGGGATCTTAGTTCCCTGACCAGGGATTGAACCCGGGGCCACTGTAGTGAAAGCGTTGAGTCCTAACCATTGGACTGCCAGGGAAGTCCCTAATTTTACTACATTTTTAAAATTTAAGGAGCACACCTTTGCACACAACCCCAAAATGACAAGGAGTGATGGGGAAGTGATGAGTCTCTGAGCTGCTCTGTGAAAGAATTTGTTAGTTTTAGGTTATAGTTGTTTCGAATCTTCAGTCAAATTCTACAAAAATCTTAGCTGAGAGGAAATGCAAATCTCAGGGAGCGTTTTAAAAATCTATTTTTGGCCCAGTTATGATGTAGCATTGACTGGCTCCAGAATTTTTAACATTACTGGTTAGAAACCACTGGTGGCAGTCAAAATGACTTGTAGCTTACAAAGCATGTGGGCATTCTTTTTGGAGAAAGTAGACAAGAAAATTTGAGCTGTTGTTTCATGTAATAAAGTAGAATCAAGTGATAAATCATTTGGGCTGTATGCACAAATGGACAGTGACACAGCTAAATTAGTCACAATTGTTCACCACAGGCCAACTTCATGATAGATAAAGGGCTATATATCAGCAATGTTCCCTTAGAAACAGTCCTGATGTGTCTGTGAGCAGGAAAATAATTCTATGGCTACAATCAACAAAGAAGTATCAGGCTAGCTCACCAAGCCCAACCAAACCCCTATCTCGCTGCAGTTTTTATAAAGATTAGCATATCACATGAGCCAAATGCTGTGCCCCAGTGTGAAAATATGATACTGTTACTTTGTAGAGAAAGTGTAAGCCCTGTTCTTCAACACCAATAAAATAGAAGCATTCATAGATACTGAGTTCAGTGTGATCCAAAAACTGAAGCATAAAATAGCTATCTGGTAACAGAACATTTTAAAACATCAAGACAGATAAGAATTCAGGCTCGGAAAATAAATGACTATGAAGAAAGATAAAAAGAAGAGAGATCTGGGGTTTCTCTGAAGACCCGGCTCTGCGGCCAAGTCCTCCCTGTAGCGAGCTGCCATTGCCATGGAAACCAGTGGGAAGGGCAGTGGGGGCCTGTGACTCCCGCGCAGGGCGGCGGGGGTTGGGGGGGGGGGGGTTCGGGGTGGAGACGGGGTGGTGACCTATGACTGGTATACTGTCCCCCAGACCCACTCCAAGAGACTCCACCGAGCTGCTGCTTCCTGAACTTGCTCCCGGGAGCGGTGCCCCGAAGCAGCCAGGAGAGACCACTGTCCCGCCACCTTGATGACAACACCCCCGTGTCCCCTCCTGGCTCAGGCTGTCAGGCAGCGCTCTGTCCATGGTCTCTCCCAGATAACCAGCAGTCTATACATCAGCAATGGGGTGGCAGCCAACAATGAACTCATGCTGTCTACCAACCACATCACGACAGTCATCAACGTGTCGGCAGAGGTGACCAGCATGTTCTTCAAAGGCATCCAGTACGTACACGTGCCGGTGGTAGATGCTCCCACCTCGCACCTCTACGACTTTTTTGACCCTTTTGCAGATCACATCCACAGCGTGGACATGAAGCAGGGCCGAACGCTGCTGCACTGCGCCGCCGGGGTGAGCCGCTCTGCCGCTCTCTGCCTCGCGTGCCTCATGAAGTACCACTCCGTGTCGCTGCTGGACGCCTACACGTGGACCAAGTCATGCTGCCCCATCATCCGGCCCAACATCGGCTTTTGGGAACAGCTTATCCATTATGAATTCAAGCTGTTTAGTAAGAACACCGCTCACATGATCAGTTCCCCGGTGGGTCTGATTCCGGACATCTACGAGAAAGAGGTCTGTTTGATGATGCCGATGTGAGCCTTCCCGGTCAGCCCCTGACATCTGCTGCAAATCCTATATCAACATTGAACGTTGAACTTTTGTTGGTAAAGGAACTAGAAACCACCTTTTAGAAGGACAAGCAAAAAGGGCAGGGGGAGTTTTTAGCTTAGTATGCCTTATCTTTAAAGAATAAAATTCATTAAAAGTAAAACGGTGACAATGTTTCTTACCCTGTGAGCGGCACGGCATGGCTGCTGCGGCCTGGCAAGAGAGGAGGGTGCCGAAGGTGGTGCCCACCTCAGATGGACCGGAACCCTGGGACCTGCCGGAGCAGACTACTAACCCAGGGGTGAGTCACCCGCAGCCGGTCCTCCCACCCACCCAGCGCCCCAATCCCACCTGGTTCTTACCAATCCAAAGCCAGAGGCTTAGACATCGTGGTACCCACTGTGTGCTTCTTACAGTAAGTGCCAACCTACTGGATAAGTGGCCTTCTTGGGGTTCTCTGGGAGTCCTGGGGGAGCCTCAGGCCACCCCTGACCCCACCTTCAACCACAGTGACCCAACTCTGATTTTCTAGATTAGATTTACATGTTAAATAGTTTTCAAAAAAAAAATTCCACTATATAAAGTTTAAAAATATTTTTCCCAGTGCTGTACTAAATGGCAAGGTCTTGAGTTGCCCTCAGCAATCCCCACCAGCCTTTGTGAAAAAGGAACATTAATCCCCTTCTCCAGGGCACTTGCTAAGAGAGAGAGCCCTCCTGACACAAGGCCTCCGTTGCTTTCATGGGCCTTGGCATGGTAGGCTGGAGCTGCTGGCCAGGACTGGCTCTGTCACCTCCTCCCATTGTAACTGGGGCCTCTCAGAGCCTCCATTTCCTTACCTGTCAAAGCAGTGGTAGCCTGTCTCTCCCAGGGTTGCTGTGAGGATTAGATTCCTTAGCATGGGACCTAGCAGGCAAATGGTTTCCTGATTAGAGGAAAGGGCTGCTCTTGTTATTAAGGATAATCTTTAGCCCTGCCTGGTTGGGGGTCAGCACATCCATCCTCACAGCGGCCTTTCCCCCATCTGTATACAGCCCTTTGTTGTCTACACAGCGCTCTTCTAAAAAATCATCCTGTCTATAAAAACAAATGGTCTAAGGTTCTTTTGGACCCTACCTCAGAGGAGGCCTACATTTAGAGCCTTTTCAGCGTTCCCATTGTGTCATTGTATTTAATCCATGTGAAAGCAAGAAGCATCATTCCAGGGCCCCCTGTCCCCTACCCAAAGGCCTTATTTATAATCACTGACCATTAGAGCCAGCACCCTGGGGTTCCACCAGGATCCGTGAAGGCACTTGCCAAAGGGACGAATGAGTGGGCCCCAGAAGTAGGCCCTGGAATCCAGGATTGTTCAAAATCCCCAGGTATCTGGCTCTGGCTTGGGAGCAGCTATTCTAATCGAGAATTACTCTAGGTAAACAATATGAGACAAAGAGCACAACCACTCTGGTTGATGCAGACCTGTGGGTCCAGACCCCTTTCTCTCCAAACCCATCCCCACTCCCACTTCCACAAAAGGAGTGTCCAGGGATGCAATTTGGGACAGTGGGGGTGGGGGACATTATGAAAACCTCTGCTCTAGACGGATCCTCTCCTTTTACAGATAGAAGACCAGGCTCACAAAACACAAGGGCTAGTGCGGCAGATCCTCCACAAAGCAGCCTTTCTGGCAGAAACCCAGAAAGAAAATTTCTTTTCAAGCATTTTTAAAAGAAATTTGTTTGTATATATATATATATATATATATATATATATATATATATATGTGCGTGTGTTTTCATTTTTTTTAATACCTAAATTAACACACCATAAAATTAACTCTCTTTGGACATACAGTTCTATCAGTGTTAACAATGGGTACGTTTGTGTAACCACTGCCACAATCAGGACACAGAGCAGTTCCATGACTCCAAAAATTTCCCTCATGTCTTCCCTTTGTAATCAAACTCCGGCCCCCACCCCAACCTCTGGCAAACACTGATTGGTTCTCCATCCTATAGACTTACCTTTAACAGAATGCCACATTAATGAAATCATACAGGATGCAACATCTGGTGACCTGTTTCTCTCAGTCTTTGTGATTTACCCATGTTGTAGTCCATTGTATGGATGTACCACAGTTTGTTTTACATTCACGTTGAACGATATTTGGTTTTGTATTACTTTCCTCAGGGCTGCTATAAGAAAATACCAGAAACTAGGTGACTTAAAACAGCGGAAATATATTTTCTCACAGTTCTGGAAGCCAGAATCCTAAATGGAGGTCTCTGCAGGGCCATGATCCCTCCGAAAACTGTCGGGGGTAGGGGTTCGGCGGTGAGGGGAATCCTTCCTTGCCTCTTCCTAGCTTCTGGTGGTTGCCAGAAATCCTTGACATTCCTTGGCTTGTAGATGCATCACTCCCGTATCTGCTTCTGTGGCCACATGGCTGTGTGGCCACATTCCCTAGTGTGTCTTCACATCTGTCTTTCCTCTGTGCATATCTGTGTCCAAATTTCCCTCTTCTTATAGGACACCAGTCATATTGGGGGCTCATTCTACTCCAGCATGACCCTATAACAACCATTTATTAGGAAGCTATTATATGCCAAGCACAGTACTGGGCACTTTACAACAGTGTCTCAAGCCTTTTCAACAGCCCTTCAAGGTGGTCCACCTCCTACAAATGAGAAATCAGAGGTTCCAAGAGGTTAAGGAATTTGCCAAGGCAGCACACAGCTCAGGAGTGAGGAGGTGACATGCACACTGGGTTCTCTTTTCTTGCATTTCTTTAGAGACAAAGGTAAGTAGATTGAAGAAAGGAAAAATTTGAGTCATACCCTTGATTCCCAAATAGTATACATACGAATCACCTGGGGATTCTTTTATTATACAGATACCTGGGCCTCAGCGGCACAAATTTAGTTTCAGTAGGTAATAGGTAAGTTCCAGGAAGCTGCCTTCTTTTAGGCCACGCCAAGCAGCCTACGGGAATTTAGTTCCCCCACCAGGGATCGAACCTGGGCATTCAGCAGTGAGAGCACAGAGTCCTAACTACTGGACCGCCAGGGAATTCCCCAGGAAGCTGCATTTTTTAAAAAAAATTTATTTATTTATTTATATTTTATTTTTGGCTGCGTTGGGTCTTCCTTGTGGCGAGGCGGCGCTACTCTTCATTGCGGTGCGCAGGCTTCTCATTGCAGGGGCTTCTCTTGTTGCACAGCACGGGATCTGGGCATATGGGCTTCAGTAGTTGTGGCACACGTGCTCCGTAGTTGTGGCTCACGGGCTTATTTATTCTGTGGCACGTGGGATCTTTCTAGACCAGGGCTCGAACCTGTGTCCCATGCATTGGCAGGCGGATTCTTAACCACTGCGCCACCAGGGAAGCCCCAGGAAGCTGCATTTTTAACAAGCATCTCAGATGACTCTGATAATGGCTGAGAAACATCAACCAAACAGGAGTGAATGTGTAAATACTAGGTATTCCATATCTTCTCATCATTTTGCTTCTTTTTTGAATGATCTATTCATGCCCTTAGACAATTTTCTATCAGATTGTAAATCTTTTATTTTTCTTTTCAGTTGTAGGACCTGAAATATAGAATAAGGATAGTCAACTTTCCTTGTCAAATATGTTGCAAATATTTTCCCCAGTTTATCACGTGCCATTTGTTTATCGTGCTTGTTTGTGATTCAAAAGTTTAAATTTGTATGTAGTTAAATCTGTGAGTCTTTTAACTGAATTGTTTTTGCTTCTGAATGATACTTGAAAGGTTTTCTCCATTGCATAATCATAAAAACGTTAACTATTATTTTCTCCTCATTAATGTTTTTTTCACTTTTAAACCTTTTCCCCCAATTTTTTAATTTGAAAATTTTCAAACATCCAAAAATGGTAATCGATTGTTAACCTTTTTTCATATGTGCTTTCTCTCTCAATATAATACTTTTTTTTCTGACTTATTGAAAGTAAGTTGCAGATATCATGGCCCTTCACCCTTGAATATTTCAAAATGCCTCATCTAAGAATAAGAACAGGGGCCTCCCTGGTGGCGCAGTGGTTGGGAGTCCGCCTGCCGGTGCAGGGGATACGGGTTCGTGCCCCGGTCCGGGAGAATCCCACATGCCGCGGAGCAGCTGGGCCCGTGAGCCATGGGCGCTGAGCTTGCGCGTCCGGCAACGGGAGGGGCCACGACGGTGAGAGGCCCACATATCGCAAAAAAAAAAAAAAAAAAAAAAAGAATAAGAACATTCTCCTACACACTGATGATATCATTATCAAACCTAAGCCAATTAATTAACAGTAGTTCTCTACCATCAATCCATATTTAAATTTTCTCACTTAATGCCCAAAATGTCTTTTATAGCTATTTTTTTTCTTCCCCAGACAGGATGCAATTAGGATCACACATTATATTTCATTATCGTATTTCTTTTAATCTAGAACAGTGCTTCCACTCTTTTTCCCACAACATTGTCATTATGATGAGTCCAGAACAATTTTGTGGTACAATGTCCAGCATTCTGGATTTGTTCAATTATTTCCTCATGTTATTGTTTTGCTTGTTCCTTTATCACCTGCATTTTCTTTAAACTGGACGTTAGGTCTGGATGTTTGATTAGATTTGGATTAAGTTTTTTTCCTAGAACACTTCAGAGGTGCTGTCACGTTACATCATGTCAGGAGGCACAAACGTCTCTTTGTCCCATGAGCAATGATTCTTACTTTGATCACTTAGTTAAGGTGGTGACCACCAGATACCTGCCTTTAAAACTAGTAAGTAATCTGTAGGGTGATACTTTTATACCATGTGAATATCCTGTTTCTTTCATCCAGTAATATTAGCATTACTTGCCTCAATCAATTATTACACTGGGGGACACGTAACACTTAAATCTATCCCAAACTAATTTTGGTATATGGTATAAATTGGAGCTCTTAATTTTTTAAAATTTGAGATGTTGCAAAACCATCATAAATATTTGTGTCTGCTTTTGTTCCTTCT